TAGCAGACACAGCACAAACTAGAAGTAGCAGGGCAGGCTGCTAAGATAATGCTGCCAATCTGTAGCCAAAGGGAATAGCTGACAGATAACATGTTTTTGTGAACCTTTCCCCCTTAGGGTTATAAGAGCAGAGCACTGATTGTAAACTGGCTAGTGTTGTAAAGTCTGGATTGGGTTTTCCCCAGCCCCGTGTAGTAGCCTGGCACAGTTTGCAAACACCAAAGATGAGTGACATATTTCTTTTTAAATAAGCAATCAATTAGCTGATTAGCACAAAACAAACCAACAACCCCCTAGGACACCCATCTGATTTAATCATCTATGGAGCCGGTGAATGTTTTTTATATAATTTAAGGCCACAGAGAGATTAAATAATGTGGGCTAGTCCTGAATGATGTATTGTAAAATGAAATGCAATGTCATTAATCTGGGTGGGGACACAGAGGTTTAATTCTTGGCTCAGATGCCTCAGGCAAGTCAGTTTGTCTCTGTGCCTCAGTTCCCCACCTGTAAAATAGGGATAATAACCCTTTCTTTTCCCCAGCCCTTTGTCTTGTCTATTTAGCCTGTAAGCTCTTCATCGAAGAGACAGGCTAGCACAATGGGTATCCAGTCTCAGAGGAGCCTTAGGCATGCTTAGAATGCAAGAAAAACCAGGGTACGATAACATATATTAATATTGAGATGTAAGTGATGTTTAATAAAATTAAAACCGATCTGTTCACAGTATGACCGGTTCACTGATTATTAAGGCCCTGATTAGCCTCTGAAGCACATCCTTAACTTGAAGCTTTCACTGTCAATGATAATACTTATGTGCTTAAAGGTAAGGACCTGCTTAAGTGATCTGCTTAATACAAAGCCCAAGCCAATACACCCATCAACTCCTTTGGGAGTGTTACCTAGGAAAGGAGTGTGCAGCAAGTGCTGAAATCAGCTCTTCCAAAGGCAGGAATTAGATTGGTTTCCAAGAACTTCCATTGCAACACGATACCCAGATCAACACTCCAAGAAGGCTGGAGGGGTCTGAAATAGCTCTGCCAGAAAAAGGGCTTTCAGCATTTTAGGTTGTTAAACTTACTTTTTGGGGGTGAGGAAAAATCAGTCTAAGGAATGGCCTTTTCCCCACCAAAGGTGCTCCCCAATCTACATTTTAGTATGGAAGATGAAAGTTGAGATTGAAGTGGCATTTGAAGAAAGAACTACATTCAAATGTACTGCTATACGCCAATTACCAATTATACCTGTTTGAAACCCAGTGGAAATCTGCACTAACTGACTGAGGGTACTACAGAGCTTTTCTGGTATCCCGGGAAAGCTCTACTGCATCCAAGGAATGAATGCATCTACTTTTCTGAAAAAAAATTCGGAAAAGCGGATACGTTTTTTTGGCATCGCTGTAAACCTTGTTTTATGAGGAAGAAGGGATGTTCCATGTAGATGGACCAAATGTCAGAAAAGCCTCTTTTGGAAGAAAAATGGAAAAAGATACGCAAATTGCAGTTTGCAATTTGCATATCTTTTTCCAACTTTCCTTTGTAGGGTAGACACAGCCTGAGTGCATTTCTCATAAGTGGAAGGCAGCCAGCTAGGATTTTAGAAAGAACTATTTTTTTATTCCAGTTGTTTTCTGTCTCCATTTTCACCGCCCCCCGTTTTTGTCTACCTGAGGATGGGGCAATGTGTGATCAGTTGGGCTGGTGTCATGCCATGGAGTCACTCTTGATTTTTATTGGTGTCAATGAAAATAATTTTGGATCTGAAGGGCCATTCCCACCGAAGCCAGTGGGATTTTCCTCTGAGTAGTGACTGCGGGGCTGAGTCCTAAATTATTCAGAGTTGATTTTGATAGTGAATTTTTATTTAAAATGTGGTATACAAGGGGGGAGGTTCAATGCTTTGTGGAAAGCTATTCAGGGCTTCTATGCTACTTTTGTCCATCTCCTGTAAAAAAAAAAATTAGAAAAATGCAATAGAACACAAGAGGTAGCTATTTATTGCAAATCATTCCAATTATTTTTATGGGTACTGTGGGCCACAAACTCAGCGGGCATAAATCTTCACAGGCCCACCGACTTGCAGTTCTGCCTCCTTGCATCAGCTGAGGATCTTGTCCTATGTGTATCAGGTCTGGACCTTGCAGAACAGTTACTTGCATGAGAAACATTGTGCTTGGGTGTAGTCCCTTTGAATGCAAAAGCATTCCTCATGTGTGTAAAGTTATTTACAGCTGTGTAGGTGTTTACAGGATCAGATCTCTAATTACTGTTCAGCCTTTTCAGAAAGAGTTATAAACCCATAGGTTGTATACAGTGTTGTTGCTGGATGGGGCCCAGGATATTAGAGACACAAGGTGGGGGACGTCATGTCTTTTACTGGAACAACTTCTCCTGGGGAGGGAGACTGGTTTTCAGGCTTACCAGAGCTCATTAGCTTTTCTCTCTCATCAACAGAAGTTGGTCCAATAAAATATATTACCTCACCCACCTTCTCTCTCTAATACACCCAGAGGGTAATTTTTATTTTATGAATCTGTTTTCTGTAGAAATTTCCCTATACATTTTTTTAAACTGAGGAAAGTTTTGTGTGTGTGTGTGTGTGTGTGTGTGTGTGTGTGTGTGTGTGTTCAAAATAAGATTTCACAATCAGAGAAGTGGTGTGCATGGCCTTGTTCCCATTACAGCAGATGGGGACCGTGCCATTCGTGTCCACCAGAGCTGCCCCAGCCAAGCCCTACATGTATGAACATTCTGCGAGAGCGTGAGTTGCAATGCACCATCCAGGACCATGGGTTTATTGATAGGATTTGTGATCAAGCCTTGCAGTTTTTCCAAGGAAGCAGGAGAGTTGCCTATGGGGCACTAATTTACTGGCAAGCTGCTTGTTCAGGATTATGACAAGTGAGGGGAACACTAGAGGGCACTGTGACAACTGCACATCTTGCATTGCACAGGTTTAAGACAGGTGGGGTGACCAGCTTGCAAGTGACGACAATCGAGAGAGTGGATGGGAGATAGCAGTCACCTATATAAACAAAGCCCTGAATATTGGGACTGTCTTTGTAAAATTGGGACATCTGGTCATTTTAAAGACTGGTAACTCTCCCTTGTGCATTGAACAAGGTGCATTGAGTCTGCAGAAATCAACAGCAAAAAATATCACTCCCATTTCCTAATTAGAAAATTCACCCTTGTGTGGGAATTATCTGGTGTTTTGGCTTTGTATTATGCCTTTGCTTAGGAGTGAATTTCAATGGCCAGAGTTTTCAGATTAACGTTTCTTTCAAGAGAGAAGAGGGGGGAAAAGCACCTTGTTCTTCCTTTCAGTAGGTCTGAATCTCTCCTCCCACTGATGTAAATCAGGAGTAACTCTGCTGGTTACAGGTGGAATAAGTGAAGGGAGAGTCAGAACTATTCACCTGGGGTGCATCTACACAGCACCCTAAACTTGAAATAAGATATGCAACTTGCACTATGCAAATTACATATCTTATTTAGATTGTATTTCAAAATAGCTTATTTCAAAATTTGGCATGTTTACAAGTGACAACAATGTGCCATGTCTACACAGAGCCAAATTTCGAAATAACATGCTATTTTGAGACATCCCTTAACCCTTGTGGAACGAGGGTTACAGGGATGCCGGAATAGAGTGCCCGTTATTTTGGAAAAAAATTTGAAATGACGGGTGCGTTCAAAAGATGTGGGGTAGCTATTTCGGGATACCTCCAGTATCCTGAAATAGCCCTGCTGTCTAGACATATCCCTAATGACTGGATGATAGCTAATGTGATGCCAATATTTAAAAAGGGCTTTGGAGGTGATCTTGGCAATTATAGACCAGTAAGTTTAACATCAGTACTGGTCAAATTAGTTGAAACTATAGTAAAGAATAAAATCGCTATACACATAGAGGAACATAATTTGTTGGTGAAAAAGTCAACATGGTTTCTGTAAAGGGAAATCATGTCTTACTAATCTACTAAAGTTCTTTGAAGGGGGAGGGTCAACAAACGTGGACAAGGGGTATCCAGTAGAAATAGTGTACTTAGATTTCCAGAAAGCCTTTGACAAGGTCCCTCACCAAAGGCTTTTAAGTAAAGTAAGTTGTCATGGGATAAGAGGGAAGGTCCTCTCATGGACTGATAATTGGTTAAAAGTCAGGAAACAAAGGGTAGGAATAAATGGTAAGTTTTCCGAATGGAGAGAGGTAACTAGTGGTGTCCCCCAAGGGTCCGTACTGGGACCAGTCCTATTCAACCTATTTATACATGATCTGGAGAAAGAGGTAAATAGTGAGGTGGCAAAATTTGCAAATGATACTAAACTGCTCAAGATAGTTTAGACCGAAGCAGACTGTGAAGAGCTTCAAAAAGATCTAATGAAAACTAAGTGATTGGGCAACAAAATGGCAAATGAAATTTAATGTAATTCAATGTAATGCACATTGAAAAAAATCCCAACTATACATACAATATGATGGGGATTAATTTAGCATAACTACTCAAGACAGATCTTGGAGTCATTGTGGATAGTTCTCTGAAAACATCCACATAGTGTGAAGCGGCAGTCAAAAAAGCGAACAGAATGTTGGGAACCATTAAAAAAGGGTCAGAGAATAAGACAGGGAACGTCTTATTGCTTCTGTATAATACCCTGGTATGCCCACATCATGAATA